AATTCACTGGAAAGTTTTAAACAAGAGGAGTAACATTCTCTTATTTATTTACATTTTCAGAAGACCGGTCTGGCCCAGTGCCAAGAACAAATGATATGGGAGCAAAAATTGAGGGGGAGAGAGAAGGAATCTGAGAAGTTGCTACAGAAGCCAAAGGAGAGGGGCGCCTGGGTGGCTTAGTCGGTTAAGCGTCCGACTTTCGCTTAGGTCATGATCTCGAGGTTTGTGGGTTCGAGCCCCGCGTCGGGCTCTGTGCTGATTGCCAGCTCAGAGCCTGGACCCTGCGTCAGAGTCTGTGTCTCCCTCTCTCTCTGACCCTCCCCTGCTCGCGCTGTCTCTCTCTCTCCTAGAAATAAATAAAACATTTAAAAAAAAAAAAAAAAAGAAGCCAAAGGAGAAAGGGGTGTGAGTGGTAAGCAGAGGACAGTCAGAAATAGTTGGCTTTAGAATATATTCTGGAGATAATGAAAATGGGAATCACCAATAATAAACTGAATGTGGAAGATAAGGAAAAGAGATAATGAAAACGTACCCCTGGTTCGGGGCCTAAGGACTGAGGTGAATGATGACATGGGGAAGATAGGAAGAAGTAGGCTCAGCTTGGTATACGACGTCAAGAGTTCTAGCTCCAAATGGCTACTGGACTTCCCAGTGGCCATGCTCAGTTCATAGAATGAATGAATGAATCCTCAGGTCATGCACAGTTATTCATCCTACTACACACAAGACAAAAGCCAGAAGTTCCCTGAGACACCGGCTCTATCTTAGCTAACCTTTGCATTCTCAGGGCTCCTTATCATAACAACTAAACTTAATGCCTATTAAATAAAGCTTGTTAAACTGAATTAAATTCAGCTGACTTGACTAGGCTCTGTAGGGCACGTACGACTTTGGATGGACCACAAAAGGTTTATATGAAACAGAAAGATGGACACAGATACTTCAAGTTACAGAACAGCAGAAGTACAACTAAAGGCCAGAGGAGAGGCTGGCCTGCTCAGAGTGGGGGATCATGCAAGATGCCAGGATATACCTGCTTAGCTGGGAGCGCCATGCTGCAAGCACACACCCAATCAGTCAGAAGGTCCTGTCAGCCCCACCTTCAGAATCCTGGCAGAATCTGATCCCTTCTCATCACCTCCACCACTACTCCTTTGGTTTGAGTCACCATTATCTCTCCCATTGAGATTACTGCACAACAGCCTCCCAACACATCTCCTGTCCCCCCCTTCACCCCCTTATAGATTATCGTCAACACAGGAGCCAGACCAAGCTTTGCTTGCAGTAAAAGATAAGCCAGCCCCTGACCTACAAAGCCCTCACCTCCTCCCCATTTCCCTCTACAATCTCATCTTCTACTGCTTTCCCCCTCACTCTCTCCATCACAGCCACACTGGCCTCCTTGCTATCCTTCCAACACAGCAGACATGTGCCCCCCTCAGGACCTTTGTGTGTGCCCTTTGCCCTACATCTTCCCCTAGATAGCTGCATGGCTCATTCCCTCAACTATTCCAGGCCCTTGCTATATGTCACCTTCCCAGGGAGGTCTTCCTTGGCCATGCTACTTTATAAAGCAATTTGCTTCCCCATCTGTGCACTCTGTCTCCTCCCCTGCTTTTTTTTCCTCACACAGCAAACACCACCATCTGACATGCTGAATATTTTACTGATAAAAACTCCATGAGAGCAAGGACTCTTGTTTTTGTAGTTCGCTGCTAAATATCCTTAGTGCTCAGAACAGACATATGCTAGATGCACAGTAAATATTGGTTTAATTCAATAATCCATTAATTCTCAGGTTTCTGGACTAAACATTGGTTGAATTCAATAATCCATTGATTTTTGGGTTTCTGGACTACCTATAGCAAGCAAGCAAGCAAACAAACAAATAAATAGACAAAGTGATGGCTAGAACTGAATCAGAGCCTGATGACTTAGGTTACAAGGGGCATGTGTCCACGGTCTTATAGACTGACTTGCACACCCACATTTTATGCCTTTTCCAAAGTTGGGGAACATACAGCTAATTCTTGCCATTTCTGTAGGTTATAATCTGAATCCTTGCCTCCCTCCCCCAAATTCATATGTGGAAATTCTAATGTGACTGTTTGGAGACTGGGTCTTTAAACAAGAGATTAAGTTAAAAAGAACCTGTTAGGGTAGGCCCTACTCTAGTATGATTGGTGTCATTATAAGGAGATTTACACACTTGATAGTGTCACCAGGCATGAGTGCACACACAGAAAAGACCATATAGGGGCGCCTGGGTGGCTTAGTTGGTTAAGCGTCCGACTTTCACTTAGGTCATGATCTTGCGGCTCGTGGGTTCAAGCCCCGCGTTGGGCTCTGTGCTGACTGCCAGCTCAGAGCCTGGAGCCTGTTTCAGTCTGTGACTCCCTCTCTCTCTGACCCTCCCCTGCTCGCGCTGTCTCTCTCTCTTTCCTAGAAATAAATAAAACATTTAAATAAAAAAAAAAGACCATATAAAGACACCGCAAGATGGCGGCCGTACACAAGCCAAGGAGAAAAGCCTCAGAAGGAAACAAAACTGATGACCCCTGATTGTAGACTTCCACACCCAGAACTGTGAGAAATAAATTTCTGTCAAGTCACCTAGTCTTTGGTGCTTTGTTACACAGCCCTAGTAAACTAATACACTGTAAATACACCATCACTTCACCAAATGGAAATCATCCTCACAGAAAGACTAAATCGGGTGCTGTTTTTGTTACCAACATCCTCACAGGAATACCCACTGGAATCAGTGCGTCCCACACGTGGATTTTGGGCTCAGCCAGGATAGATTCTCTAAGGTAGGGAAGAATATGACATGGCAGTGGCATAGCACTGCTATAGCTCTGTACTCTGCTTGCCCCTCTCAGTCCCTATGTCAGTGAGGCAGCAGGAAAAGACCACAGGATTTCTCAGCATTACACAGAAAGACACAAGATCTCCCCTCAAAAATAAAATCAAAAGAGAAATCGGATTTTTGTTACTAAAAGATTAAAAGCTGAATAATGGGGCCAACTGAGTACCTCAGTCAGTTAAGCGACCAACTCTTGATTTCAACTCAGGTCATGATCTCAGGGTTTGTAAGATTGAGCCCTGCATCAGGCTCTGTGCTGACAGGCTGACAGTGTGGAACCTGCTTGAGATTCTCTCTCTCTCTCTGTGCCCCTCCCTGTCTTATGTACACTCTCTCTCTTAAAAAAAAAAAAAAAAAGGCTGAATAATAATAAGTGTAAGATAAATAAGGGTGCACGAGAAACATGGGACAGAGGTGCATAATTGGGGCACCAGGCTGGCTCAGTTGGTGGAGCATGCAACTCTTTATCTCAGTGTTGTAAGTTCAAGCCCCATGTTGAGTGTAGAGATTACTTAAAAATAAAATCCTAAAAAGAGAGAGAGAGAGAGAGAGAGAGAAGGTGACATAATCAATGTGTGGTACATAGAAGGAGAGGAGATACCTGACAGCAGAGTGCACTGGGGAGGTTCCCTGGAGGGGGAGACTGATCCTGTAGGATGGAGAGATTTCAGAGATAAATTGAAAGGGAATTCAGTAAAAACCACACATAGGAAAGAAGCCACAATTGTAAGGTTGATCACATGGTTAAATCTTGTTCTCACACCTGGCAATTACCCCAAGGCCCTGGAAGTAACTTTATATTAGCATTTGTCAGAGTGTGTTTCTCAGAACAGTCAACACACTCAAAATATAAAATAGAATAACACTGAAAATCTGGGGACCAAATAGATTTTTTTCAAATTACAGAACTTCTCAGAACTCGGAGTATATTCGTAAATCTCCCCCCAGATGATTAAACCACCAATCCTTTTTCCCAACAGAATCGCAAAGAGCTAGCATTTGCGGAAGCACCAAACCTTCCTGATACAGCTAATAGGTAGAAAAGGCCAGCCAACCCATGATGAACAAAGCAATAGAAAGTAGAAAGTGCCAAACCAAAACAGCAGTCAAGCCCTGATGCAGTGTGTTCAGTCTGGCAGGCATTTGTAGAGACATAGGGAGGAAAAACAAAAAACACTGATAGAGATAGTTAATAACATTCGGGTATGGCTGATTTTTAAAGTAATCAGTACTGTTGTTTCTATGTGGCCATGTGCTAAAAACTTAACCTACAACAATCCTGGTAAAACAGCTTTTAAAATCACTTTCATTTTGAGGCACCTGGGTGGCTCAGTTGGTTGAGCGTCCAGCTTTGGCTCAGGTCACGATCTCACGGTTTGTGGGTTTGAGCTCTATGTCGGGCTCTGTGCTGACAGCTAGCTCAGAGCCTGGAGCCTGCTTCGTATTCTGTGTCTCCTTCTCTCTCTAACCCTCCCCTGCTTGCTCTCTGTCTCTCAAAAATAAATAAATGTAAAAAAATTTTTTTTTTAATAAATAAAATCACTTTCATTTTACAGATAAAAAAGCTGGCACACAGAGAGGCTAAGTACGTTTTGCTCGAGGTCACACAGCCAGTAACTGACGGAACCAGGCTAATATACTCTTAGGGAGGTAATTCCAAGAAAGCTCAAAAGTCACAGCCTGAAACACTTAAAAAGTACCTGTTATATGCTCACTGCTTTGCTGAAGGGGAAAAAAAAATCACATACCAAAAAGCAATAATCAATTCCAAAAGACAGCTAGGATGATTCTTCCTTCTCAAGGAGAACAAGTAAGTTTTGGGTCTGAGGCAAAAGCTCAGAAGCAAAGAGTTCTGCCCAAACTGGGCAGAATCTGAAACCAGACTCACAGTAGAGAGAGTTGACCACACCACAGGGAACAACAAAAGCACTTGGAGGTCAAGTTGAACACGGTTTAGAGACGGAAAGTCTGTGAAAGATGAAGAAAATCTACATGGGACAGTAACCGGGCATCACTCTTGCTGCCACTCGCAACAGCAGCTAGAACACACTCATTTCCTGTGTTCCCACGACACCAAAGTGACACTGGTTCCTTTAAAACTTACCCTCGAAGTACCTGTTGCTGTTTTACTTACCACAGTAGGAATACCAAACACTGGAATCAGAAGAGTTGCAGATCCACTGTCGCTCCCCAGGTTCAGTGAATATGGAAGAAAACAGAATGGAAAAAAGGATAAAGGGAAACATGATTCAGGATCTCCAAAACTTTAATAATGCAAGGAGAATCGGTAACTAATCATCAGACTCTTCCCTTTCAGTAAGCAGAAAAGATTTAACTTAGTCACTGATCACATGATTTCTGAGTTCCCTGTCCAACTGTTTCCTCTTTTGTGTGTGTTTAGTATTTGAGTACTTCCGGCAAGGGGAGAAAGGAAAATGATTTAGAACATACTTTTTCTAGAACACTTGATGCAAATGAGAGCTCAGCACTTTAAAAACAAAACAAGGTACTTCTCAGTCTATAGTAACAGAACCAGTCTGTAGGTCTCCCTTAGAATCCCAACAGACTGGTACCTCTTTTCCATCTGCATTGCTGTTCTGTCCCGTAAGTTTTTTACACAACAGTGTCTCGTGGCCCAGGGAGCTGGACCTATAGGTCTGAACTGAGTAGTCTTACGCAAACTGGTTCTGCTCTGCAGTGGGTGCAGCCACAGGGCAGAGCCAGACTAGATGAGACCCCAGATACGGGACATTGCACAGCTCTGTGCAGTGGGCAGGGGCCATACCAGCTTGACAATGCACGTACTTAAGCAAGTGCAGATCCAGGGAATATTTTGACCCCTGATAATGAAATGGTCATTATTTTACATGCAGCATAAATTTCAAAATTCTCACTCTGTTCTAGAAATAATAGCTCATCTTTTAGATACTTTGCTACCTGAAATCCTTTTAAAAAACTTTTAAAGTTTATTTTGAGAGAGAGAGAGAGCACAGCAGGGGAGGAGCAGATAGAAGGCAGGGAGGTGGGGTGGGGGGGGAGGACAGAAGATCCAAAGCAGCTCCATACTGACAGCAGAAAGCCTGATGCAGGGTTCGAACTCATGAACCAAGAGATCATAACCTGAGCCAAGGTCAGACACTTAACTGACTGAGCCACCCAGGTGCCCCGCTACTTGAAATCCTTTAAAGGACATAGTTTGGAATTAGTAGCCAAAATAGCATGGAGTCAAGACCTAAAAATCCACAAGTCTGGAGCAAAATTATCATATGTTGTTAAAATCTTCCACTAAAGAACTGGGCTACTTTCCCATTTTTTAGAAAGGCAAAAATCCATGGGAGGATAGGGGGAAATGGGAGTTGTTATTGGATACTGAGTTTCAGCTTTGCAAGATGAAAAGTCCTATAGATTTCTTGCATAGTAAGGTAAATATAATTAACACTACTGAATTTAGGCCTAAAATTGGTTAAGATAGTAAATTTTATATTATATATATTTTACCACATTTAAAAATTAAAAAAAAAAAAAAAGAAGAACAAGAAGAAAAACCTATGAATGCCCCTAATGGTCTCAAAATACCATTCCCCCCTAAAAGGAACAAGGACTAGAGAAATTGCTGGTTCCACATCTGGGTCAGAAAATGTACAAGATGGAGCCTGGAATGTCTTATCACGTTAGATAAGCAACATGAAGACAGTCCCCACTGACCAAAGATAGGTTTCGTATTGATGCTGTAACAAATATCCACTAACTTAGTGGCTTAAAACAATACAAACGTGTCCTCTTACAGCTCTGGAGGTCAGAAGTCTGGAATCAGTTTCATTGGGCCAAAGTCAAAGCTGGTTCCTTCTGGAGACTTTGGGAGAAGAATCTGTTTCCTTGCTTTTTCATCTTAGAGAGCTTCAACCCTTGGATTCCTCCATCTTCAAAGTTCAGCATTCCCATCTCTGCTTCCATCATTATATCACCTTCTCCTCTGACCTTCCGACCTCCTGACTCCTTCTTATAAGAACACTGTGATTACCCTAGAACCATTTGGATAATCCAGGATAATCTCCCCAAGATCTATCTATAAAATTCCTTTTGCCATACAATGTGACATTCACAGTTTCCAGACACGAACATCTTGGGGGACCATTACTCAGCCTACTATATAAACATTGAGATAGTTAACTGCAATGAAGTGTATATATTTGTGTATAAATATGAGATATGAGCTCCTTTTTTTTTAAAGTCTAATCATCAGATAATGCTAGGAAGCCAACTCTTTTGAAAACCAGTAAATAAAGGGAAAGAAACGTTTATCCTGACTTCTCTATAGAAACTTAACTACTGGTACCCAGACAGGAGATAGGGCAAGTTTCCCTTGCCTCCTCTTACTCTCTTCTCTACTTTTAGAAGCAGTCAGCTAATATATTAAAAAGGAAAAATAGAAGATAACCATTTTGCAACACCTAAGGAATTACTGAACTTAGGCACCGAGCATCAATGGTTGCTAACTTCACAAAGAGAGACAGACTTTGTGTATTTCTTGATAGATGAACACTGTGGTAGCCAGCCTCCAAGATGGTTCCCAACGATCTCTACTTCCTAGTACCCAAACCCTTGTGTAGTAGCCCTCTCCACCAGTGAAGAAGGCTGATAAAAATTAACTAATAAAATACTGCATAATTACAGCATGCAACTTCCAAGGTAGATCATAACACATCATTGTGTCTTCCACCCTGCTCTTTTGGATCACTTGCTCTAGGGGAGCAGGTAATCCTAAAGACTGAACCATGTGGTGAGAAGCTGAGTCCTTTGGCCAAAAAGCCAGCACCAATTTGTCAGTCATGTGAGCAAGCCATCTTGGAAGCAGTTCCTCCAGCCTTCAGATGACAGCAGTGCCAGCTGATATCTCGACTGCCACCTCATGAGAGAACCTGAGCCAGAACCATTTAGCTAAGCCACTCCCAGATACTGGACCAGCAGGCACCGTGCAGTATCATGTTGTAAACCTCTGACTTTTAGTAGCTGTTGTGCAACAATCAATAACTAATACAAGCAACATTATCTATGAATTTGTCTTGTCCAAAATAAATCTCAATCTGACAAAGCCTCAAGTCCTACTAACAATTTATAGGAGATACAGAGGACAGAGAAACATGTTAAACTACACCTCAGAGACACAATCAGAAAATCTAGACCAGGAAAAGATGAAATGGACAAACAAGTGTTTCTTTCAACAGATAATTTATGAGGGAGAAAAAACCAAAGTGGTAGAAATGGAGGGGCCTGTAGATAAGAAGAGTCTGAAAAGACAGTTCATAAATTGGTATGAATAAGGTATGAACTTTTCTTAGATCTTACTCCAAACAAAATGTGGGGAGGAAATTGGAAGTTTGAACAGACTGGATATTTGATAACTTTGGGAAAGAAGAGCGGTTTGGGTATCATAATGGTATTATAATTTTTTAAGTTTTTATCCGGTAGAGTTACACAATTAAATATTTAAGAAATAAATGTTATGATGTCTGGGTTTTGCTTCCAAATAAGTAGAGCATAAGTGGTTGGGGTCTAGATGAAACAACACTGACAACAAATGGGTTGGTAAATACTGAATCCAGATGATAGTCATGTTGATTCATGGTACTCCTACTTTTTAGAGATAGAAATTGTCAATGAAAAGGAAGCCAACAACAAAGGTACAAAGTGTTCTGAGTAAATCAGAAAAGTTTTTAAAATGTATCATTCAGACTTAATGGCCATTTTGTTACTTTTGCTTCCAAAAGCTGAATTCTTTCAGGATGATGAAATTGACATTGAAAAAAAAGGATCACAATCAATGCGTTTTATTACCTGATGTAACTCAGATGTTAAGCCAAGATCATCCTGCCTTTTCAGATTCAAATAAAACTGACTCAGTGCCCTTCCTATAGATAGTGGGACACTCCTCACCTTCCCAAGCTTTCCAAGCTTACTCTGCCTCAGGTGAAGTTAGAAAAGTGGCATAGAGAATATGTGTATAAATTTCTCCTCCTCACCTTGGTCTGACTTGTTTCAGCTGACTTATTTCAGTGATGAATCAAATTCTATGCATGCTGTTCTTTCCAGACCATGCACTTGAGAAGTCATCTTTCTCAGGATTTCAGGCTTCTTTTCCCCTAAACAACCAAGTCGTCTTCTGAATTATGAGGCTACTAATAAAAATAGGTCTTTCACTCCACTACACAGGTGGCAAAACGGTTATATGGATACAGAACATTTAAAGAAAGAGATGTGAGGTCCTCAAAACAAGTTATGATCGAAGTGACACTTGGAAGAAAACTAAAATATTAACAATGCTGTTTTTTCTTGTAGGAGTGGAATTAAGGGTGATTTTTTTCTTTCTTCTACTTTCTGATATTCGATGAGTATTTTTTTTTTTGGTTTTGTTTATTTCTGAGAGAGAGAGAGAGAGAGAGAGAGACAGACAGCATGAACAGGGGAAGGGTCAGAGAGAGAGGGAGACACAGAATCTGAAACAGGCTCCAGGCTCTGAGCTAGCTGTCAGCACAGAGCCCGACGCGAGGCTCGAACTCACGAACTGTGAGATCATGACCTGAGCTGAAGTCGTACACTTAACCGGCTGGGCCACCCAGGCGCCCATGAAGAACATTTGATCATGAAATAATTTTTAATAGAAATATACAAATCACATTAACTGCCAAAATAGCAACAGGTATTGATCTAGGTGACATAGGACAGAGGAGCAGGCAGAGGCCTAACCTGAGGATGGAGACAGTACCAGCTTGTTCACCTTTCTGAGACCCAGAGCCTGCTCTCTACTAGGGTCGTAAGCTGGCTGATCCTAGCAGAGGGCGGGCTCTGGGTCTCAGAAATGATGGCACTTTTCTACCTTACCCTCTCTCCTCTAAGCCCCTAGCAGCTTCAGACCTGACCTTTTTCTATCAACTAGTGATGCCTCTGCTCCTTCCCCATCAACCTTCCTCAAACACAGGTAAGCCATGATGAGGGGTACCCTCACGGCAGACGATAGGAGACATGAGGCAGCTCCATACAGACTGGGTGCTTTGTTCTTGCCTGTGACTGACAACCAGCACAGTACCTGGCACACACTGGGCACCTAAGAAGTTGCCTACTGATCTAAGTAGCATGATTTGAGGCCTTTTGTTCCTTGCTGAAAATCCTTCACAAGAACCAACTTTGATTTTACAATTAGAGGTTAAAAATCTTAAAAGGCCAGGACTTCATAAAGTTAGCATAGAGATTGCTCTTTTATAAAAGGTACTGTTGTCGATTTAGTACCAATGATTTTTCCTGCTCCAACAGGCTA